CCCATTGAAAATTTGACGAGCTCAAACTGAATAATGAGCTGGACAACCGTCATGTTGAAACCACATATTCAATTGTTGGCGAAGACAGTAGCAAAAGATATTGCGTTTGACAGGTAGAAAATGATAAATGTCAATCTCTTTTAATCTCTTTCAATAAACTCATTCATTTCTATCACTCCTGCTTTAGAGAGAAGCCTTATTTTTAGAAAATATTAAAAATTCTAATAACTTTAAATTAACATTAATTTTAAAAAATGCTAGGAATAAAATATTGTTACTTTTCAATAACGAATGCAAAACAGTGGGGATCTGTCGAAAAATCTAAAGTTATCCCGCCCACTTGCAAGGGGGAAGAGGTGGCTTAACTTCTATGTGGTTCAAATGGCCCCTCCAAAATAGTAAACTTTCGTTTAAGACACTTTTTCAATTTAATGTATATTTCAGAAAATATTTGCAATTGACATTATAAATGAACCACCCCGTATATAATTTAAATATTTACAAATTGTTTCAATTGTAAATTGAATTGTTGTTAAATTGAATACAAATTGTTAAAATTTACTTTCCCTGTATTTCCCTGTACTTTCCCTTTCACCAAATATTGCTGGAAAAGTTAAGTAACTCGTTGCTGGATTTTTTAATATAGTTCCTTGACAAAAATTTTCTCGGGCCTGTTACAGTAGCTTTTTAGGTGCATGTTTACACATAGATGTACTGTACTATATTAATTAATAGATATCAAATAAAAATTATCTCGTCAAATGATAGAAAACAGTTGAAAAGAACAGTGAAGAAAAGATAATAAGAAAACACAAATAAGAGAACTGAATATTATTTCAAAGAGGATATTTTTGATTGATTTTAAATCATAGAATTCTTACTTATGCAATATTTGAGAAATACATTAAAATCAATTCACGCTTTCAAAAGATCAAAATGTTTCAAAATACCAGGTTAAAAGAAAAGTTTTGCACAAAGAATTTTGAGAAAAAGAGGATTTTATTAAAATAATTCAGTATATTTATCAGAAAGAAAGTAACAAGTCAGTGTGTTTCAAAGTATTTATGTAAGTTTACCCCAAAATTCACCAATAAGTCCATAATTATATATTTACCATAATATTTAAAAAAAACTTTGAGAAATAGGAAGCCATGTTGATGTAAGCTCTGTGCAGAAGATATAGGTTTAGTTTAAATTAGTTAGACTATACAAGAAGTTGAAGCTAGATTAGAAAATATTAGAAAGAGGTTATGGAATAGAGAATGGAAAATTTAGTGGAGAGAAAATAAATTATATCAGACCAATTATTAGAGTTAAATAATTTATAGTAGGTAAGATGTAGGTTTACATTAGGTATAATAAATAAAATAAAAGCGTTGGCAAAAATGGAAGTAGATAAATAGTATACTGTATAAGAAAATTCTAATGAAGCTAAAAGAGAAATTTATGAGTTGTTAAGGCAGCAATGATCATAATGTTGGAGATTAAAACAGAATGAAATTAGGAAAATTCAGATTGAAAAGACGAGAATGCTGAGATAGATTGATAGACGCTAAGAAATGAATATAGCTTATTAGAGAGAAAATATATATATATAAAAGCTCCGGCCTGTCAATCGCCTACAAGGAATTTTAAAAATACAGTAGATTTTAACATTTTTTTATAAAAAAAACATATGACGTTCCAATTTGTGTTTTACTGATGATCGAGTTAGAATTTGCAGATATAACGGACAAACTAAAAGACTAGTTAGAAAATTTATTAAAATTATTTTAAATACATTAAAAATGCTTTTACATTTTGTTCTTCCTATACACCTCGGAATTTCAAGGCGGAGCAGACCTTTCTTTAGAGACTTCTCATCCGCCACGATATGTAAAACGTTATAAATTTCCTCTGGTGACGACATAATTTTTTTAAAAATATATACATTTGAGACTGTAGATTGAGATGGTTCTGAATGTTTGAAGACAAATGTGTAGATAAGCTTAATAAATTAAATTTTGATTTTTAGAGAGGCAAACCAAGGATGTTAAAATTAACGATTAGAAAATAGTAGTGGAAATTAGCACATGACAGATTAGTGAGGAAGAGCAGAACTACAAAGTAGGAAAAACTAAAGAAAGTGATGGAGTTAATTAATTTGCTATTAATTGCCTAATATCAATTATTGAAAATATTTAATTGGAATAATAATCAATTGTAAATAATATATATTTCCAATTACCGAATTAGATACTACTGTATTGTAGGTCAACGTGATACTAACGATAATTCTAAATGCATATATTCTTTCTTGAAATTAATAAGTTAGAACCCATTTTAAATGATATTCAGTAGGCACCCGCTTTAAATTAAAAAAAACTATTAATTCTGTAGAGAGAAATTCATAATTTCAATTACACACAACACAAAACAGATAGAAAATTTGATATTTTTCTATATTAAATTATGATAAACAATTCATGTTACTAAAATAAAAGCCAAAAATATAATATCCAGATTTTTTCATATAGAAATATGAGCAGATGAATGAGATTTATACTCATATAGAAATATTTCATTAATAGGCCTATATCCATTTCTCATAGAGAAACACACACGAAAAAATTTTATCATTTACAAGTAGGCCTAATCTCTTCTTTTTTCCAATATCATAGCTAATGGTATTATACAGTAACATTCTTACATTCATTTCACGTTATTGTATCTAGAATAATGGGTTAATTTGTTAATATCTTACATTCTGTTTATAATCTTATCATTATATTTGGATCGGAAACGTTCCCGAAACCACTTTAAACTCTTAAACGAGCACTATCGAATGTTTTGCCCCATTTCTTTTAAGTGTATCAATCATTTAAATGTTCTATACGCTTTTTTAAAAGGTCGCCCATATTCACGTAATGTAAAAAAAATAAAAGGGAAAGTATGGAATGGATTTATGTTTCTTCATTTCTTGCATTAACGATAGCGCTTTGGAAATCTTTCCATTTTGAAATGAATGCTTTATATTTGAGACTAAATTATTCGATTCTATGATGATTTCGAATGAAATATACCGAATAATGAAATACTGGTTACAACAAAAGTTGATCGAATTTATCTTGAAATTGCTTTTGCTTAAATTAGGCACGAAGTGATTACGACCTTAGACTGCGCGCGGTATTCTAGTTAGCATATTCAAATTATTTTAAATAAATATTAAAAGGATGTAACACAGAAATTGCAATATACTGTATTTCCTCGAATCTAACTTGTAAGACGAGGTTTTTTCTCCCATTTCTACTTATCCGGAGTTGAGGTGCAATGTAGAATCGATGGTTCTTACACTTGCAGTCCAAAAAAATAATCACCGGCCGACCACGTGATGCGCTATTCACAATAGACGTTCTCGCCTGTACTGCTCAAAGGTCACACTTCAAATGAGTTTTACCGGTTAGAAGCGTTGAATTTGAACTTATTGTTAATTGTTGTACGAGTATATGCAAACACGTAGAGTTGCCAAACATTACTTGTTTTACGATATTAGTATTGTTTTTCTAACTTTATGTTACTTTAAAAAATTTTCCTCCACAAAAAGTCATAAAATTTGACTTAAACTTATAATCTAGGAAATACAGTTTATTCTATGTACTTGTTAAACTATGAAACAAATTGATTTGTTGTTGCTGCTGTAGATGTGAATATACACCAGCAGTAAAATTTCATGGATTTTCATCAAACGTTACAAATTCCAAATAATAATTGCAATTATTTCAAATTCAAACAAAAATTATATAAAACAAATAAATTTATTTCTTAAACTTCTTTTTATAATTTTTAATATTTATAAGCCTGTGTAGGCCTAACGACTACATTAAATATAAATCGAAATCGTCGGTCACGCGTATTATTTCTATTATTTTTTATAATAACGAGAAAAAATATAAATAGTAAAATAATGCACTTTTTTAAAAATACAAAAAATCAATAAACATATATTTATTTTATTACCGCTACTTCTCATTATTATAAAAAGAAATAATAAAAGTAATGTGCATGACTCAGGATTTCATTTCGAAGCAATCAATACGAAATTACTAAATTTTAACTCTGAAAATTTCATATTAATATATGTAAGAAAACATTATTCTATGTTCTATTATCGCTGACAATTTTTTTTTTTTTTTTGTTACTTTGCTCGATTTCTCTGTAAATATTTACAGAAGTTTTTCCAAAAATTGTTAAAAATTATCTTTTGTTTTTGTCGGAATGTCGACACGAGAATAGACGGGGGTCGACGTTTTTCTTTCGGTTTACAAGAGAAAATCTCTTCTTCCTTCCGAGTGGAATATTTTAGACTCTCGAACTGAAAATGGTAAAGAACGATAGCAATTCAAAAGAGTAGAGATCATTACAGCAGGTAGAACAATTGTGCATTTGTCTACAACGTAGTAGATAGAAAATCTTACGAACATCGATGATAAATCAATAACGCATCGTCGGTCGACGTCAACAAAGCACTACCGAAATATTTTTCTACCATGCGAAATTTAAACTGAAAACGTATCGTTACCAAACTTTCTTTCATCTATATTTAATAATTAAAATATATATATATCGCCTTCAATCTGTGTAATTAGAATTCTTTAAAATTTTCAATTTATTATTTTATTAACATTTCAAGACACAAATAAATGTAAAATAAAATAGAATATGGCTTTAAAATAAAAAAAAATTCAAGTGTTTCTATCGGTTTTCGAACAAAAACTAAGCATCGGTTTCAGTAGAGACTAAGAAAAATTACAAAGACAAAATCAATTTCATTGATAAAAATTTCCAGATGTAAATAAAATACTTCTGTAAGCGCAATTAATGAATTAAACAAAGACAGTAAATAAATTGCATTCGAATAATTCAAAGTATTTATGTACATAATATATAAACGTTAATTTATGTACTAAAATAGTGTATAACTAATATATATTTATAGGTTTAGTAAAATAATTATAACTTACGGCATTTGGCACATTTTGATGATATGTTGTTACAAAAAGTTATCTGGAAATGAAAATATGTAATTCATTAAATTGAAATATTATAAAAATTTTATTTTACAAATTATATTATTTATTAAGAAGTTATAATTATAGATATAATAATAAAATCTTCAGTAGGTAAGGTGATTAATCTTATCCAATATTATCAATTATTGCCATCTTAAAACATATCGGGAATTAATATTCTAATTTTTTAATAAATGAAAGAGTTACATTAATATATTTATAAATTAAAATTATAGGAAAAAATGGTTTNCAAGTACATATATACAATGGTGCAGTAGAAGCAACTTCCACCATTCTCGGTAAATCTACAGTATGGCCTAAAAATCAGTTAACCCTATGTATATATTTTTAAGATCGTTTTAATCCTTTTTAAGGTTTGATATTTTCTAAACGATCAAATATTAATTTGAATTTTTAATCGTATTTTGACAAATGAAGTTAATACAATACATATGACTGGAGTTAATTAATGAACTTAACATAAGATGATCAAAATGTTATTGGGGCATGTTGCTTGTTTACAAGGTCACTGTGTTCTATCGTTTTAAATACATGTACTGAACATAACTACATCTATATAAAACGATAGCGTACAATGACTTTTGATCATCCTACATAATATACTTATTCATTTATTGGAAAACTTTACGGAATATAACTTTAATATCGTATGAAAAAACTTAAAGATAATGCAAAACAATTTACTTTATACAATTTTGTTTATATTATCATTGGCTAATAAACTAAAAATAACCAGCAATTATTTACTATGACATTGTGACAATGTCGGACTGAAATTTTTAATAATCTTTTAATTTAAAAAAATTTTACGTGGCTGCCTATACACACCGGAAGTTCGTATATACTTAATCGGTTCCTCCGACCCCTAAGCTTTCTATGTCTGGTCTCAATTTTCATCTAACTCCGTTCTCGAGATTAATGAAGGACAGATGGACGGATGGACGACAGTGGGAATGTATAGGTTGAAAATTCTAGCTCAACAATATCTCCAAAACACACAAAATCATTTTTATCGTCAGATCAAACGAATTCCTATATTTGAGCATAATGCCACGTGGGTTTTACACCACGTGGCATTAAAACTAATAAAAATTGAATTAGAATAAAGTGTTTCATAATGTAAGTTAAACTTCAAAATAAATTATAATGGAAAACTTTGCGCTGATTTCTAGAAAATTTCTGAAATTTTTCAATGTAATTTCAGGAATTTGAGAAAAGGAACTGCGACGTTTAAGATCGATTTGGCGAGTTAACGGATCAACGCAAATAACTTCGGGGCAGATTTTGCACAGCAATAAATTGAACAGAAATGCTAAAACGGTTTCGTATATAGGCTTATATAATAAAAATTTTTACGATATAGGCCTAATAATAATATATGAAGCGTACGTATTGTTTCGAATAAAAAGGTATACTTCACATTATTAGGAATGTATGAATTCTGGCGAAAGTCGAATGTTGTCATACTATTGGCAATGGAAACAAATAATTTTATCGTTTCAACATTTTTGTGTCATCTTGCGGTATCCAAACTAATATCCAATAAATTGGAGCAATTGAAAATAATAACAGTAGTTTCGGAGAATTGAAATACGTTTAGAGTTGTCAATACAGTTTCAGGATAATACGATTTCAGTCAATACTACTTCCTTAAATTTCGTAAATATTCCAATGTATATTTAAATGACAACATAAAATGAATAATAGCCATTCTATATATGTTCGTTTCTTTTTCAGAATTTTGTCCCTGTTTTGATTTCTGGGAGTACGATACATTTAAAACTGTTCAATAGATATTCTTTACGTCAGATACTTTCATAAGATTACAGAGAACCAGTTCTCAAAACTACTTATTTGTTTGATATAAGAAATGCACTTACATGCAAAGAATCCACGACCACTGCATCGATTTCATCTTCAATTAGTTTAGGATATACATATATACAGTTGTCGCTTATAATCTTCCAAAAAAGAGTCGTCAAAGTGGAGATGACAGTTTCCTACAATTCTATGAATCGATAAACGAACAATTACACATGGGTGACACTTTCCTTGGCCTTCGTTTTTTCTTCATTTTTGTCTGCTGCTGAGTATTTAACCTCTTCACAAACAACATTAGATGAGATGTTAATTGAGATGTTAATAGAGGCTCGAAGATCGATGTGTTAGCAACGGGTCTCTTTGTTTTACGAACACCACCAATGGCCGAGTAGCTAAAAACCACTAAACATTAGTAATCGGTTGCGACTTCACACCTGACAAATGAGCTATCCTCATGGAATTTTCCGGGTTTTCTTCACCTAAATAGGAGCTAATTTTCCGTAGAAAGTCTTCTCGGAAAGTATCCAGTTGTTAGATCGCCCAAATGTTGCATTGCCTTCTTTCATTAATCTAATCCAATTCAATTCAATTTTTATTTTGAACAATTTAGGTCGCGCTCACATGGGTCACATATACACAGAATCTAAATGTCCAGTAATGAGATATTAAATAAGCCAAAAAAAAATCATATCATACATCCGAATAATGGGCAAAATTGTTTTACTGACGGGTTCTATTTTTTAGTTTCGATCACGAGAGAATCAGATTCGAATTCTTTTAATTTTTCAGGGATAATACGGTTTGTGGTACCATTCACATTCTCATTCCTCATCTCTTCTAATTAGAACTATTTATTGTGTATTAGACGTGCTAGTGATGCTCAAAATTGACTCCACTGCAAAGGAATGAGCATTTATGCCCATGGGCGGAGTTATGGGTTTGGAGGATATTTCCTAACAGTGGCTGGGAAAATTTTTAAATTTTCAGCCGGAATGCATACATTATTTATAGATATACAGTAGAGCGTCGATTTTCCGAATCAATTGGGGACTGGGGTTGTCCGGATAACTGATATTTCGGATAACTGATTTACGTATGAAAAAATAGTTTAACGTATCCGATGTCTAAATTTTTCTCCGTTGCGTGTCGCTTCGCGTTGAATTTTCGTCGATGTTAAGCCTAACAAAGACTATTGTATCGTTAAAAATTATTTTTTTATTTTGTACAAACAAAATAAATATATTGAAAAATATAAAAATAATAAAAAATTATACTTCAGATGTTAATTTAGTATCAAAAACGTAAAATATTTGAGTAGCCCAAGACATAGCCAAAGATTGAAGCGCCACAGTACTGGCGAAAATTTAAATTTGCCGACTGAAATTCTTTCGGATGATTGACGTTTCGGATGATTGACTTTCGGAAAATCGACGCTCTACTGTACTTAGTTGTAATTAGATTCTTAAGAGTGACTTTTGTCGAAAAGCTTCTGTTTTATGTGTATCCATCGATTTTAAATCACTTACTCGTTCGACATTAATAAAATTCATTAATAAAGCAGAAAACATTTTAAAATATAAAAAGAATTACAATTTTATAAAAAGTTAATATTAAGTAAATTGATTAACAGAAAGAAAATTCAGCTAAAATAGCGTATGTGAAGTACTGGATTGAACATAGACCAACTGTATAACAATTGACAGTTTCGCCTAGGAAAAAGTTCTAATAGCCACCTTATAGAACGTAATTAAGTTACGAATTGGAAAAGCTCATATTAATATGCATCACGAGTGTTTCGAATAGAAAATTTCAAATCGTAATTCTTAAATTGAGGAAGAAATCGAAAAATTACAGCACAAATTATCGATTAATTAGTACTAATTTGGACAGATATTTATATTAATAGATGCTTACACGTTCCCAAGTTTCAGGAAACTTACAAGTGATATCGAATAAATTAAATTGAATTGATATATAATACGTATGTCAATTAGTGATGTATGCAATTAAATAAAAGTAGACAAAATTTTGCTGTCTACATTTTGAGCGACAATATTTAAAATGTAATTATTTTGGTAAAGCAAAATCCAATGAAAAAAAGATTTTTATTTAATTAAGCTATTATGAAAATGCTGTAGATTTAGCCATGGATTTAAGTGCTTTGGCATAAGCTATATATTTTAAAATAATGGAAATCCTGTTAATTATTTGAAATTTAAGTTACCAGGGTTTTTCCTCGCACAAACACTTTTTTCTTGTCTGTCGTTAACGCCGAATGCTCACAACTAGATACAAAGTACAAAGTAATTAAATAACAAATGGGAAAATACCATTGACAAATTAAAAACTTTCTACTATACAATATTCTTTTCGTCGATACCGATTGAGATTTTCTGTGAAATTTCCAGCGAATATTAGAGAACATTAAAAAGTACCCCGTTATTTTTAAAGATTAAAAAATACTGGACTAGAATATATACGATTTCATGGCCTGATAAATGCAATTTAAAAATCTAAGGGAAACAATCTCTCTATTTCTCACTTACTTATTCATGGAGCATTTACATAGATTTTCAATAAAGTACAGCGTATATCCTTAGAACGACTTAAGCGAAGAATTGTGAAAAATAAAAAAAAACTTTGGAAGAAATAGCTCAACAATTTTGAAAACGTTTATTAAATAACACACAAATTGCAAAATTAGAAGACAGATTCAAAAAAAGTTGTGGAAGGATTGCATTATTAACGAGAAAAGCTTTACTTTGTGAGAATAAAACACACATTTCATTATTAGAGTAAACATTTCATCAATTAAGACACTTAGTTAGAAATTAGCATAGGGTAGATCAGGTTTTATTCGTATACAGCAACGCGACACATGGGTGATCTGCCGAGGGGATGCCTCCCGAGAAGTCCTTGGAAATTGTCCCCTATTTAGGTATTACTGATGTGAAGAAAATCCGGAAAACTCCACGAGTCCACCCCGTCCAAGCATGAACCCACGACCAACTACTAGTGTTCAGTGGTTTTATCCACTAAGCCATTGGCGGGTGAGACATTAAATATTAGAAATACAGTAATACCCCGAACTTACGCAATAGGTGGGACCGAGCGACAACCGCGTAAGTCGGGGTATAATTTCGCAATTTGTGTAAACTCCAAGTCGCATGTATGTAAGCTAATAAATGTTCTCGTTAATCTTATCTCGTCTTTTGATTCGTTCATTGTTACAAGAAATCACCACATAGAGTCTCTCGAGTCTCCGTAGATATAACAAACACAGAAATAAATAACACAAAATAAATTGTAGCTATGTGTCGATTCTGCGCTACACGTCCGAACATGTAAGGTGAACAATAGTGTGGGGAGGGAGTGAGTAATCAAAAGTTGCGTGCCACTCAAACAAAAGACGAATCGACGAGATTTGAAAGTCGCTTAACTCCGGGTTCGCGTAAGTCGAGGTATTACTGTATAGAAATTAATGAACTTACTGCATAATTAGAACATAGTTTTATACCGTTTTGAAAAATTACAATGAAAAGAGAAAATTGATTTGTGTTTTGTGGTATTATATTCGAATTATATTAATAATTCGTATATTATTATTCGTGGTATAATACAGTAGAACCTCAATTATCCGGACCTCCATTATCCAGATTTTCGATTATCCGGATTGTTCAAAATAAACAAAAATTTTACGAATTTGCTGATTTGCACTTGGCGAATTACGACACTGTTTATGTACGTGATGGAATGCATAACTTTTTTTGTTTCAACAGCGTCTCACCTAGCACAGTGGTCGTAAACTCTTAAATATATTTTACGTCATAATAAAAATATAACTTGACATATGTATTTATAAATAATTTATATTCAAATTACATCATTTCTATGACCAAGGGCGGCGTAAGGCATGGACGACGTGGGCCACCGCCTATGCCTCGCGGTCCGAAGGGCCTCGCGCCTCGAAGGTTTATGCATTACTTAAAAGCCGCGAACGCGACGAAAAAATTTTACTCGTCATAAAACGATAAATAGTTTGTCAAATTTTTATTCATAAAAATGCAGTTTCAACTGCTTTTTATTTTATAAAATCCGTCTTCTTGCGCCACCAGAGGGCCTTTTAAACAATAGGTAGTCTGTTAGCGTTGGTCAGTAGTAGTCCAAATTCAATACGAACGTTTGTTTCTTGAAAATTTGATCACGATTTAAATACAGTATTTACTTTTAATATTACCGATATGTCATCGAAAAGAAAACGTGTTGTATTATCATTAAAAGACAAATTAAAGTATTTGTTTCGATTATCCGGATTTTTCCTTATCCGGACTACCTTCATCCCCAATTAGTCCGGATAATCGAGGTTCTACTGTATAAGAATTATATTCTTTAGATATATATTACAGGCTAAACATATTTAATAATTTAATTTTTTAATCATACGATCATAAAATGTCACATGGTTCAGTTCACTATTTACGGCAACGATTAGCAGTTTTACACAAGAAATGAGATCGTCAGTGGTGATAAACCGGGGTAAAAAATTATAGCATTTATTCTTGAAAATAGAAAACCTTCTATTGGATTTAACTGTTGCGTGTATGGTGCAAGAAATATAAACTGCACTTACTCTTCCGATAATAATAGATAACTATTTTTCAACTATGATGGAAATAAATATTACAAACAGGAATCTATATTGAAAATTCATTATTTACTAAAATACATTATGTTCACTGCCTTCTGTAAATACTCAAGAATCCGTTTTTCCCATAAGAGCATTTTTCAGAACAGAAAGATTAATAAGAATATTACTTTGCATAAGATTATCAGTCAATTCGTTAAAACTATAAACAATTCTCTTGTTAATTATTGTTTGTTATAACTTGAAATTGCAAAAACATACTTTCCAAAATTTAAAACCTCGTTAATATCTGCAATTTTGCTCCAATTATTTGCAAAAGTGTCCCATTTAATCGCAAATGATTCCTTAAACAACAAGCATTTCGGTAAATAAGTAAAATTCTATTTACAAGCACATCGTTACAAAAGTATAATTTTTTGTAATGATGTGTGGTGTTTCACAATGTTTCCGATATTAGCTTAATCCTTCCGCAATTCTTTGAAACATGTCTTTTATTTTTGCAGTTTGTGTGCCATTTCAGAGCTCTGCAGCCAGGCACAATGCCTCCAAGAGGAGGGAAAATATAGAGTTTATGGTGAACACGTGAATATGATAAATGCGTGTTGATTTAAAAGGGACAATGATTACATCTTTATTTTGACGTTTGTGATAGCAGGAATTCTAATATTTTTTTTGTATATTTTTATTTATGATGTGCCACGGAATTTAGTGAATTAGCGTGAGAAAAGATTGCGGAGCATGGTACTATTTAATAAACGTCTGAAAATTTTGAAAAATTTCAAATGTTTCTTGCAAAATTTTTATTATTTACCACAACTCTACACTTAACTATTACAATCCATGAAACTGTTTTAATAACGAAAATGATACAAACTTAAAATTTACAAGAAACAAAAATTAGTTTACTAGGAATTCACATTCTTAATTTTAAAATGACATTTAAAAAACATTTTGCCATAAAGATAAGAGTGCAGACAATACTTTGTACTAACCTTTTTTGTATCAGTTAATCGTTATTAGTTTTAACAGAGAGAAACTTCAACTTGCTTCAGTATATTTGTGAGAAGTTGCTGAAATGGCCATGTTGTCATTTTTCCGTGCCCTAACAAACTGCAGTTGCCATCTGAATGTTTAAATAATTCGGATTTATATATCTTACTTAGGCCTTATTTACTCTAACCTAATAGATTTAAGTAATAATTTATTTTTTTAATTAATTTTATATTAAATAAATATTCTAACATTATATTACGCATAATAATCTTGAAAAATATATCTGAAATTCAGTTTTCAATAGTTCTAAATACTGTCAAATTTCGATTACGATCTCACCCTTAATGACGATTGAGAAATTGTTGGTAAAGTGTAGGATTGCAGAAATAAATTATCTTACTTATTTTCTTAATTTATTACCTATAAGCAATTTACTGTTCCCGAATCAAATCGGCATAGAAAGGAGATTGATGTGAGGATGCTGAATGTAAAACACTTAACTGAAATAAATTTAAAAAAGCTAATAAAATGTATTTTTATACATCTACTGACAAGTTTAAGTGGATAGTTATTTGAAGAAATTAATTTTTAAAAATTATAAAAGCTTTTCCTACTTTACTATGTGGTTTACTTCTAATTTTAGAATGTACTGTACTTGTATTTTCTAAACTCTATATATAATACATATCAATAAAAAAATTATAAAATTAATCATGTAATAAAGATATGGTCCGTTTCACTATTCAATATAGTTATATTCCTAATATTAGCAATAACAAGCAACGGAAATTGCTTGTTATTGCTAATATACGTGACTAGATAAATTCAAAAAATATTATGAATTCTTATCATATTCAATCGAATTCATATCTTTTTATAAATGACAATTTGGCATAATAATTTAATGATATAATAAATGTCTCGTATACAATTTCCAAGTAATTTTACATATAAATCTGACTTATCGGTTAAAAGATTGATGTAAAATTAAATTTTTTATCATTTATCAATTCATGAGTTATTCATATATAATTTTACTCAAGTCTTTCATATTTAGATTCGAAGACAAAAAGATTTTCTGTCAATCTCCAAATTTATGATATATTACACTCTATCTAGAAAATACAATATATATATTTTTAAGTTTTCAGTTTTTTTCTTACAGGAATTGCGGCTCGATCAGTCAATTTCTGTTTACTTTCCTTTTTTTATATATTGATTTCAACTTTAAAATGGAGCTACATATTTTTTAAAAAATATCTAAATATAGCATGAAGTAAATATCGAGATTTACTTAATGTTTAACGTTTCCATAAAATATATACACATTAAAATATTACACACACAGGAAGAATTGTTTTATTATTGCAAGACTCTGTATACAGCATATGAGACAGCAAGAGAGATCTAGAATTATATTTAGTTTTTATATTACTTTTCATTTTGTTTTATTTATTTTGAGATTGAGGGTTGGGTTATGTTATATTTCGATTGCTTTTTTAATACTTCTCAACTAGAGATTCATTCGCATAATCTAGTAACCTTTTAGTAATAAATAGAATTGCATACCACTAACTAATATTTTAGTCGTATTTATAAAAAGAAAGTTATTTAGGATTTATGCCTATATATGGATGTTGGTGGAAAGATAAGTAAGCAAAATTTATTTCTTGTAAGCATGTATATTATGCAAGTCAGCAATATATAAAAGAACATTGTCAAACTTAACTGACTTATTTTCTATCGTTTCGGAGGAAAAGACAAATGTTATATATAACCTTCAAAAGAGGAATGGAAAGAAGACTCGTGTTCTACAAGACAATTCACTACGATGAATGAATCGACATAATGGCAAATTGAACTTGGTGAAAAGAGGGGATGTAGAGAGGTGTTAAAGGAAGAAATCGGCTTCAGATGCCCAGTGCAATCAATAACTGTGCGACTGCTGAAGAGGGAGCATCACCTGCGATAGTTCATAGTCATCACTATTGGCGATGGGTAACAAGTGATCCAGTTAAACGAATATATACGGAGCTACGTCGTACTGACGTTTTCTAAGAAAAAGATGACGTGGCGTTGATTGCGGGAAGATGTTTGCTATCGGAATGAGATCTGTCTGAGTTCCTAGGATAGGAAGGTTAGTAATGTGATCTTAACTCTTGCTCCTAGCGAGTTGCCGAATGAGGTCATAAAATGGTAAACTGGAAAATGTGTGAAGGAACAATACAACGTACCGTGAGTATTTTAGAATGCACCGGTCAGAATCGGATGATGGACAGTATTAATTGAGATGGAGACACGACTTCCAATCTATCTAATAGAGGAAAAGTATGTATATATTGAGGGAATAACCTGGGCGTGTTTTAGAAGTGAGGGAAGGAAGAGTATTTTGCAAGATAGATGACAACTGATCTCAGGATATATTTCACAAAATACCCTAAGATCGTCAGACGCTTCAGAGAAGTGTCCAGACTTGCTTGTGGGTGACAGATTCAACCGGAAACGCGCAATCAGGAAAAATCCGGAACATGTGTCCTTAACAAATAAGATACAGGAAGTTTTATAGCTGAATCTGCTAGGCATATTGCCATAAGAGAGGAGAAAATTTGCTGGAGTCCAATAGAAGCAGAGAGCACTCCGCCAATCCGAATATCTACGGGGGGGGGGCAGTTTCTTCAATCAAGTTCTGCGACCCGTACGAACCGTACAACGCAGAATCACAAGGAGGCAGCTGCCTCATTCTCAGTTGAAGTTCTGGAGACTGCCAAACTCGTGTAAAATCTAGGCAGTCATAACCCGGACTCAAATTCAGACCCCCAAAGCGGCGTGCCGAAGCATAGTCACAGTAGCCATTTGGCCTAGTACTACAGATAGTGCTACTGATTTCTGAACTGAAATTTTGATAGTACATAGTGCTGAATCTAAGAAATGTATAAAATTTAGTTCTTTACGTGTGAGCATCAAGCTCTTTTAAATAAAGTACTTCAAATAAAGTGCTTCAATATAAGTACAAATACCATTTACTATGATTGGTAGCTTTACACATGCAAATCAATACATGATTTAGTTCGAAGAAAATTATAATAAAGAATACTATATACAATAAGAAATATATTATAAGCAAAACTCTCAATCTCAGGATATTTGATAATTGGCATGAGCATCGTCGGATTGAACATGTGATTGCTCAAATTTGAAGGAGGATTTCTTTGGAAAGTAAAAATTATGATGAGGTGTTCAATTTGATTCTGTATCCCCAGATTACGGTTCTCTTCAAATGATAAGTGTCTTAATTTGTCCCAGTAGAAAAACGATGGACACAGAAGCGGCCCATGGCATTTACACAATAATATTTAGGTTCTTAAACTAATGATCCTGTGTTTGAGTCCCCATTGTGCCTTGGTGCTTATGAGTGAAAAATCTAAGATTTTCAATTGGTTCCCAAACAGGTACTTTCCGGGTAAAGTCCAGCTGAATTTTCTTTTCTTTTAGTTGATTTTGAAAATTTTTCAGGCATCCTCTTCAGTTTCTTTTGAGGAGTTTGCCTCAGTGAAGGGGGCAAACTCCTCAAAAGAATATCACTGGCCTCCTTGACCCGAAACATCACTGGCGCTTGTGTTACTGACTGTTCCTATGGAAATGACTAAATGGCAAATCCGACAAGGACTTCCAAGTCAGCATTATCATCGATGCTAATGCAGCCAATATCTCCGCATTCCACCCGGAAGTCCCTTCGACTACGCTCCCAGGTCAACCCGCGCTGCCTCTGGTCGCCAGATTTGTAGGTATATCTAATTATCCTGTTTCCGTTTTTGTGAATCTACAAGACTATTTCGAGAATTTCAGATCTAAAGTTCTCGCGGTCTGAATTGCTACGCCGTGCCTAGAGGTAGCACTTAAAGTGGCGAATAACCAAAATTATCTTTAGCGGACGAAATTTCCTTAGCGAAAAGGCTGTCTCAACATTCGTACGATAGGAAAGGAAATGTAGAGAACATCATATAAGACACTGTCTTCGTCTGGAACTCATTTTCAGTTCAGATCTCAGCACTAAAATTTAAGGCCCATTAGTGGCCAAGCGGTTCCGTTTCCTGAACACTAGGAGTTCGGTCATGGGTTTGCACCTTGCCAGAACGGGCTGGCCGCGTAGAGTTTTCGGGTTTTCTCCACATCTTTAACGCCTGAATAGGGGTCAGTTACCCTTAAAATAACTTCCCGGAAGGCATCCCCTCTAGGCAGATCGCCCAAATGTTGCGTTGCTGTATCTTAACAAACAAACTAAAATTTAACGGCTACAAAGTTTAAAATACCTCTCAACTTTATAACTAAAATAGGGTTTTTCGGTTGCAAGAATTTAATTGTACAGTTTAGACCGTAGTGAGAATCTGTATTAGTTACCATACGCGTATCAGTTGCCACAAGAACAAGCCACTGAGAAACTGTATGCAATGGTAAATGCCAACTTGCTCGAGGACCAAAATAAGATTTCCAGGAAGAGAAAGATTATCCGGAATGGGCAAGAATATACTCCCTCTTCGGTACCAACGAGTTGCCTATCGATCTCTGAACTGCTGCTGAGGTAGTTAGTTGTTCTCCCATTGTAATATCGCTAAAGACATTTTGTATTACATCTCTAAGGTTCTGACATGTTGTACCACAGAACTGCAACTGACAATCCTAGCGAAACCACCCAACCGCCGGCCATTTAAGGGTACAAGAAACGACTAAGAAAGTTACCCAACAGTGTTACTGGCTAAAAAAATATCGAAATATCAAAATTTATTTCACACTTAATGTCTGAAGTTTTCAGCTCGGCATCAAGCACAATTTAACGACTCCTTACTAGCCGGAGTCCAATATTATTGGACAGGTAAACCGGTCCATTGGCTGGATAATAGGTGTATACTGTACATCAAGAAAAGCCACAAGGTATGGAATAAACAGGAGTTCGACCGATGGCGTTCTGTAAGGAAAGCTCATGAAGGCTTTGGATATATCCTGGCTAAACCACCTCAGTAGAGAAATCTCTTTGTCGATATGTGATCGATTCATAGAGGCAGTCAAATAACCTATCACCGCTGAGGAGAGACTAGTGGAAATGCAAATGGTATTACACAACGCCCGGAGAAC